AAACTATAGCTTTACAAAACTACCGAAAAGATGAGCAATTTTGTTTATCCCTCATAGAAAAATACTAAGTTGCCATTTTGCTCTTCTTAAACACAACTAATGTCTAACCTCTCATCTGAGTTAAGCATAACTATGATATATACGAAGCTCCTTAAAAATGCATTTACATGTACTCTGATTGATAGAGATTTCAATAAAAAATGAAACTTATGTGTATGACAAGCAGCAAGTAATTTAATGTGATTCTAGTACGGTTTTCTGAGACATTAGTTATCAGAATTTTAAAAGCTAATGTATGTTCAGTGTGAGGTTGAGTGCAGATCATAAAAACTTCATAGAATTTATATGTTCATGTTCAGAGAGTTTTTTCCAAGTTTTAACTACATTGTAGTATTAAATCAACTGCTAATGCTTTCACCGAAATGATATTTTCACTCATTTTCTTTCAGTTGTTTTGCATTGAGCTATCGATTTTCAACAGTTTACCATTAATCATTGATTCATTTTGATTCACAATACTTTTCATGTTGATCTTAACATATACTACATAGTTTACACTATTCGTGATTTCTCTTTTATCATTCCAAATATTTCAAAACTACATTCATATCTATGTGTCATCATCTACCTATGTTTTTTTTCATTTAATTTACTTTGGGTGATTTCCTAACTACTCACACACTTCATCTTTTTGTGTATATCTAGTTTTATGCTATAATCAACACTTGGTCGTTATGATTACTCATTTCATATACTTTTATTGATAAGTTAAAATGTTGTACGTCCTCCGAGTTTAGCAATTTTATCGATTCATTTGAAGCTGTTAGCATCTGATGTAAATCCACAAAATACAAAGCATTTAAATGATTTTGACTAAATAACTGATTTCATTCTTTTCAAATGATCCATATGATAAAACATCTACGATTTCATTATTACCTTATTCACATCTCTTTCCCTCACCTCGTCTAACTAATCTCTTCATACAACCAGAGTTCATGAGTTGATTTTAATGTTTTATACTGCTCTGTAAACGTGATGTTTCCTGAAGACTATTAAACCAATGAACTAAGTGATTTTTTATCTTAGCCAACTATTAATGCATTATTCACACATATTATAATCATTACCTAGTTTCAATCGCATTCGTTGTGTATCAACTATAAATTTGTCAGTTCATGTCATTTGTATAATTAGAAAACTCCGCCTGGAGTCCCTTTCCGGGGGCTACTGCCGGTCCCAAGCCCGGATAAAGGAGGAGGGTTGGGCATGGGGTTAGCGACCCCATCCCGTAGAAAACTAACTCGCTAAAAAAACGCTAACCAGAAAAAATTATTCAAACCATTTAAACTCTGCCCTGGGAGTCAGGAGGTCTTCGTTTAGAAGAATTATGACGCCTCATGATGAAAGCCGAGTTTCTTCGGAAGTCACGAGGCCGATGCCCCTTCTGACAACCAGAGCAACCATTTATTTAGGTACATGGAATGCTCGCACAATGTGGGAGACTGGGAGAGTTTTCCAAATTGCTGCAGAAATGAGGAGATACAATTTAGAGGTGCTTGGGATCAGTGAAACACATTGAACGCAAGTTGGACAACAACGACTAGCTTCAGGGGAGCTGCTGTTATACTCCGGACATGAACAAGAAAATGCCCCACATACACAAGGAGTTGCATTGATGCTGTTCAAACAAGCACAAAATGCACTTATAGGATGGGAATCTCATGGACCAAGGATCATCAAAGCCTCCTTCAAAACAAAGAAAACGGGGATTACAATGAACGTCATCCAATGCTACGCGCCTACCAATGACTACAATGAAGACGCTAAAGATCAATTCTACGATAGGCTGCAGTCAATCGTCGAGAAGTGCCCAACAAAAGACCTGACTATTCTGATGGGAGACCTAAATGCCAAGGTTGGAATTGACAACACCGGATATGAAGAGATCATGGGACGACACGGACTGGGAGAAAGGAACGAAAATGGTGAGAGATTTGCAAATCTATGTGCCTTCAATAAACTGGTCATAGGCGGGACTATATTCCCACATAAACGCATACACAAAACCACATGGACTTCACCGGATCACAGCACACAGAACCAAATCGACCATATCTGCATCAACAAAAAGTTCAGGAGGACGATGGAGGACGTGAGAACAAAGAGAGGAGCTGATATAGCATCAGATCATCACTTGCTGGTCGCCAAGATGAAATTGAAACTCAAGAGGCACTGGACAACGGGGAGGACAATATCACAAAAATTTAATACGTCTCTTCTTCGGGATAATGACAAACTCAATAAATTCAAGATAACCCTCAGCAATAAGTTCCAAGCCTTTCATGATCTACTCAATGGAGAAGGAACTACTATGGAGAGCAACTGGAAAGAGATAAAAGAGGCAATCACTTCAACATGTCATGAGGTTCTGGGCCAAAAGAAGCACCATCACAAGGATTGGATCACGGTCGATACACTGGATAAGATTCAAGAAAGGAGGAACAAGAAAGTAGCAATCAATACCAGTCGAACAAGAGCAGAAAAAGTCAAGGCACAAGCTGAATACACAGAAGTAAACAAGCAAGTGAAAAGGAGCATCAGAACTGACAAACGTAAATATGTGGAAGATTTGGCAATGACGGCGGAAAAGGCTGCCAGAGAAGGAAACATGAGACAACTGTACGACACAACAAAGAAACTCTCCGGAAATCACCGTAAACCAGAACGACCAGTGAAAAGCAAGGAAGGCAAGATAATCACCAACATTGAAGAACAACGAAACAGGTGGGTAGAACACTTCAAAGAACTCTTGAATCGACCAGCCCCATTGAACCCACCCAACATCGAAGCAGCACTCACGGACCTCCCAATTGATGTTGGCGCACCGACAATTGAAGAAATCAGCATGGCTATCAGACAAATCAAGAGTGGCAAAGCAGCAGGACTAGACAGCATTCCAGCAGAGGCACTGAAAGCAGACGTAGCGGCAACTGCAAGGATACTCCAAACTCTCTTCAAAAAGATCTGGGATGAGGAACAGGTACCAAAAGACTGGAAAGAAGGACTTCTAGTCAAAATACCAAAGAAAGGCGATCTCAGCAACTGTGACAACTACAGGGGAATAACTCTTCTCTCAATACCGGGAAAAGTCTTCAACAGGGTATTGTTAAACAGGATGAAGGACTCCGTAGACGCACAACTTCGAGACCAACAAGCAGGATTCCGTAAGGATAGATCGTGCACAAACCAAATTGCAATTCTACGGATCATTGTGGAACAATCAATTGAATGGAATTCATCACTCTATATCAACTTCATTGACTACGAGAAAGCATTTGATAGCGTGGACAGAACAACCCTATGGAAGCTTCTTCGACACTACGGCGTGCCTCAGAAGATAGTCAATATCATACAGAATTCCTATGATGGATTAAACTGCAAGATCGTTCATGGAGGACAGTTGACAAAGTCGTTCGAAGTAAAGACCGGTGTCAGGCAAGGTTGCTTACTCTCACCCTTTCTCTTTCTCCTGGTGATCGACTGGATCATGAAGACATCAACATCTGAAGGGAAGCACGGGATACAGTGGATAGCTAGGATGCAATTGGATGATCTAGACTTTGCAGATGATCTGGCTCTTCTATCGCACACACAACAACAAATGCAGGAGAAGACAACCAGTGTAGCTGCAGCCTCAGAAGCAATAGGTCTCAATATACACAAAGGGAAAAGCAAGATTCTTCGATACAACACAACATGCACCAATCCAATCACAATTAACGGAGAAGCTTTGGAAGATGTAAAAACCTTTACATATTTGGGCAGTATCATCGATGAACACGGTGGATCTGATGCAGATGTGAAGGCACGGATTGGCAAAGCAAGAGCAGCATATCTACAACTGAAGAATATCTGGGACTCAAAACAATTAGCAACCAACACCAAAGTCAGAATTTTCAATACAAATGTCAAGACAGTTCTACTGTATGGCGCGGAAACCTGGAGAACTACGAAATCCATCATCCAAAAGATACAGGTGTTTATTAACAGTTGTCTACGCAAAATACTTCGGATCCGTTGGCCGGACACTATTAGCAACAACCTACTGTGGGAGAGAACAAATCAGATCCCAGTGGATGAAGAAATCAGGAAGAAGCGCTGGAGGTGGATAGGACACACATTGAGGAAAGCACCGAACTGCGTCACAAGACAAGCCCTCATATGGAACCCTCAAGGTCGAAGGAAGAGAGGAAGACCAAAGAATACATTACGCCGAGAAATGGAGATAGATATGAGAAAAATGAACAAGAATTGGATGGAACTTAAAAAGAAGGCCCAGGACAGAGTGGGTTGGAGAATGCTGGTCGGCGGCCTATGCTCCATTGGGAGTAACAGGCGTAAGTAAGTAAGTAAGTAAGTATAATTAGAAACTAATAAAATGAATATATCAGAAGGGGTTCTGTGGAGATTGTAGTAATTTCAACAGTTGAGATCATTAGTCAATTGAAGCTAGACCACCGTGGAAAACCTGGAAGCACTGGACGACCGTTTCGTTCTATTGTGGGACTCCTCAGTAGTGCGCATCCACGATCCCGCCACCCGCGATATTCGAACCCAGGACCTATCAGTCTCACGCGCGAGCGCTTAACCACTAAACCACTGAGCTGGTCGGCATCCAACGGTGTTAATATCTAACTTCAACCAATCCACGAAATTGCACCACCGTACACCGTTCTCTTCAGTGAGCTGATATCTCACAATAGACCTAGTTGAACTTCACTAGTCACAGCTTCTCACTAGAACTCCATGAAATGCCTTTCGAAGTCAATCACTAGAGAGCAGATGTTTATTATTAGAAGGGGTTTTGTGGAGATTGTAGTAATTTCACTAGTTGAAATCATAAGTCAATTGAAGCTAAACCAATTACTATGATACTAAACTGTTGAATAATTAACTCAACATTAAATTTCTTCAGATAACTAAATAAGTATAAATTATTTACAATTTTCATTACTTTCAATTTATTCATAGTACGTACAAAAATCATTTTATAATTTAAATGTGAAATAATTTACAACGAAGCAATTTCGTTCTTGTTTATTTAAAACAAGGAGAATGAAAAAGAAAAAACAAAGCGGTATTGTCGAAATCATTCAATAAATGGTAATTAATAATTTTTCTTTTTTACATTGAAAAACAAACAAACATTGAATATGATATTGTTCTAAAAATCTTAACTTATGAAACTTAAAGATCACTATATATGTATGTAAATATATATTGTGTTTTTATGAAATATTTGTTAATGGAATTAATTTTTAAGACCAGCTTGATTAGTTTTGTTTTATTTAATGAAAGATAAATCTTTTGTAATATTAACGATATGTATTTCATTTATTCATGTACAAATGATAAGAAATGAAAAATGATTATGAAAGTGTTGATTAAATTGTTGTGTTTATTGTATTCCATTGTTCGTGTCCAATTGAATATTCATTGACAATAATATCTGTAAAGGAAACGAGAGAGTACATTGTTTTTTTTTAGAGATTACTGTAATAGTTAAACGATCTTTGTAGTAACAGTGTAGTTTAATGTTTGATAAGGGGAACTAATGAGTTGATACGAGTATTAGATAGTTTCAGATAAGTCATGAAATTAACTTCTTCAACAAACTTTATAAAAGCAAACTAGGTAGATACATAACTTATTAAGTGAAGTATATTTTGTTCAATAAAATCTCAGGTAGTTATGTGTTATGCTATTTATCCTGAAGGTTTCTTGCCTGTGAAGTGAATATTAACGTACACGTTCACTGATTTATAAAATTAACTTAACAAGAAACCATGCGTATGATGCTAAATGACATTGTCTAATCATTATTATAATTTTGAACTTCTATAGGAATATGTATTTCAATTAAGTCTAACACATTACAATAACGATGAAGAATCTGATTAAAAACCATATCTTAAACACAAAAATGTAAACATTAATCCTGCAGATAGTGGAGATAGATAGATCACTAGAAGAATGTTGAGAGTGTTGAGTTTCCTGATTAAGATGACAAATTTCTGAAGAGAAATATGCAAAACAAGATTTTTGATGTTTACAAGTGTGGTGATTATTCGTATGTCAAGCCCATTCAAATTGACTTGTAAGAGCTATAAAATATCAAGATCAATACTTGGAATGCATATAGATAACAGTGGATGAGCGTAATAATAATGATATCATTAAGAATGACATCTCTGATCTTCAATAAGAGATCATGTAATATGCCTATTAGTATGAATCAAGCAAAGCATAATAAAGACAAATTAAGTAGTCTGTTTTTGCCCCCAAATGCCGTGGTACGGCCGAGAGTGGGGAGAGTCCGCTCTCCCTTTCCAAATGCTCTCATATGACCACGTGTATATAGCCTTTGCCAGGGAAGTCCTACTCACTGCATTCTCGCACCAGGGGTGTTGTTTACGAAAATGAGAGAACGAAAAGCGAATGTCCGGCGCTTTAACCGGATCTCAAAATCAATGGTGCACATGGGCTCCAGTATCCTGAAGGAACAAATGGCGTATGAACCAATGGTTGGTCACCGGCTACCATGGGACTGCATCTCCTCACGATGCTTCACCGCCCTGTGGATCAGATCTTCAGGTCGAAGGCTCCGGGTGTGGCCCCCTAAGAAAACCACCTGCTTCTGTTTGGGCACCCGGGCAATATCACAGCCCTCACACACATCAAATGAGATCTGTGTTGCGCATATCTCTATTTGGTGCCTCCTTGTACCAATATCTATGTGTTAAAATGATAAATAATAAATAAAGTAGTCTGTTTGCATATATAACAAAAAAGCAAGTTTTGTAAATTACATAAGTGCTATCTAGGCGTATTGGTACAATAGATATGATAATCGGACATGAAAATAGTCGATTAAGTAAAATAAGTTGAAATTCCATATTTGAAATAGATGGATTCCGTTGTATGATTTGAATAGCTCACGTGATGTTTATTGAATGTAAGGCATAACCAATTTAGTGTTGTCGTTTTCAAAGTAATAGATTATTGAGAATGAATAACCAATAGTTCTTTCGTGGTTCATTTTTACCAGGTATTCTTAGATTCAACCGTTAATACCTTACTTATCCAATCTGAAACGTATTTATGTGTAAAGAAAACTAATGAAGTTGCACGAAACCTATTTACCTTATTTCATCACAAGTTAAATTAGAAAATAAGTGAACTTGTGAGAATTCATTGTAAACTAAGATTTAGAGGATCAAATAAGTCTATTCTCTTTCGAGATTAACTTTCACATCCAACCGTGCATTAAAATGACTTTAATTAGAACATAAATATATTGTTTAGCAGGATGAACGCAATTAATCTTAATAAACCGAGGTTAATTTCACTAAATAATGCTGTATTTATGACGAGTTCATTCTAAAAGATGTATGATCTTAACTTAGGTAACAGTAATGCTTTTAACTTGCATAAATTTTTCCATAGCTGAAGTTATTTGTTTAGCTTTCAATGTTTAATTAACATAGTATGAATAAGTCAATATAGCGGTGCAATTCAACATTCTAGATGAAAAGCACAAATATATTCAGAGTTGAAGAGTAAAATGAAATATTCAGCACTCATTTATTAAATGATCGAAATCGCTCGATATGACACACTACTAAACACTGAAATGTAACTGATATCCTCAACCATTTTAATTGTATAGTTAGTGATATTAATTGGGTACCGTTAACACTAGTAAATAAAATAAATTATTAACTTATCAAATCGATTTAATAATGCTTAAAACCAAATTTCAAGAAAGCAGAACCATTTTTCTAGAAGATTTTGGTTTGACTATCTCTCGAATTAGGTAATTGGAGGTCATTTTGGATGAAAATATGATTTAATAAAAGGTGATAATGAAAATCACACTGTGTGATATTATGCATTTGAATACAATAAAGAATTCTTGGCATAAAATATGGAATAATGTGAGAAGTTCTTCTCAACTAATATTTTAATTACAACAACTCGAAAATATTAAAAGATATCCTCTTTAAAATGAATAACCTTCATTTATATTCAACTATAAGTGTTTTGAACCAATTCAACCATTCAATAAGAGGGATTTCAATCAAAGAAAGACAGAATTGTTGTAGTTCAAAATATGAGCGGGAATTTCAGTAGACCTCAGCTTCATTCTACCACACCATAAGATAAACATGCGGAAAAATATACTGAATCATTTAATGTCTCCGCCTGAGTTTTACATTATTCAGCATGGTATGTCTTCTATGAAAGGATGTGTTTTTTGATAATGATGTTTTTTCGAATTGTGATATGAGCTTCATGGTTATTTAACCAGCCTAGTGAATACAACACCAAAAAAGTAATTGGACAAAAGATGTTGTACATTGTTGCTCACTGATATAACATTGAGTTGATTATGCTAATTACATTATCTATAATATTTAGTTAATTATTTAATTTATCTCTCCACCTTCCTAAATCGTATGAAAGTATGATCAAAAACTCAAAACCCAGAATTACCTCATCCATATTTTTAAGTTGACCAACACCATAGAGCATGGCGCAGATGCGCGTTAGTTCAATTTGTTATAATAGGATGAATCGCAAATGTGAAACAAATAATATATTGGCAATGACAATGAGAACTACCGAACATTTGAAACATAAGTTAAAAGGACAAAATCGTAAGGAATGTATGATGAGATGCTGTGATTCGAAATCGAGAGGAAGATAAAATAATGAATTCGTCAGTGAATAAGAAAAAGAGAATTTAGCGAAGAAAGTTTTCTTTTCTAGGAAATTATTTAGCTATATAGTTATATGGAGAATATATATCTATAGAAGGATAGAAAAGATTGCGTCACGAAAACGGATTCCAGAATAAATAACAAATGAGGTTACATACTAATCAAGGGGTAAACAAGAAAATAATTTATGGGTCAGATATTACGATATCAAGAAAAAGGACAAACACAAAGGTCATGATAACAAACTGAATAATAATCAAGAAAACTTGTATAGGGTAATAATAATAAATGATTAGAGTTTAAAATGTAAAAGTCGATAATAATCAAATAAAAGTGCAGAAAAACAGGCAGATAAAAAAATCCATCAGTGACATTGTGAGCAATTCTCAGTCATGTTATGATTATTTAATGTGTTGCTTTTTCTCACTTGTCACTATCTGCAATTTTATTTATCTTAAATTATTCATACCATTTTAAATTTATCAGAGTTCACAAAATTTACAATTTTGATCAGAAATATTTGCTACTCTAATATGAAATGAATTCATTTTCTTCTACAGATCATGGTTTTCTTGGTTTATTTAAATTTATCAAACGATCAGAATGTACAAAACTAAATTATCAGTTGAATTTTCTTCATTATAAATACTTTGGGATTTCTTTTTTTTTTAATCTTTATATTCATAAGTGTTAATCAAGCGATCAAATTGTATTTTTATTTTCTACCAAGTTGATATATGTGTGCATGAGTGTGCACAATAACTGGTACCACACAATATATGTACTGACTGATTAATCGATAAATTTTCGATAAGCTAATTGGAAGAAATAATTATTCGATAGTGAAATAATCATTAAAAATAACTTGAAAACAAGTGCGAAATATTTGATTCCAATTGCTATATTGTTATTCATATGGTAAGTATGCAATGAACCAAGAAGTCAAATGGGGAGGACCGATCTATTAGTTAATTCAGAATGTCTTCGTAAAATACGAAAACCATGCAACAAATTCTTCATTTACATATCTTTCATCAATTGTCTCTTACAAATTTCATAGTTCCTTTATTCCTGTTTTGTTATTATAATTACCCTCTGTTTACATTTATGTTCTCTTTAATTCTATCTTCTCAACCTTTTGCTGTCAGGCATTCCACTTCTGACTGGTGTTACATACTACTTATGTCGACAGACATAAGTAGCATACACTACAAGTAATCACTGAAAAATTATAACAATTAACGTCAAATTAATTTTAATCCGCATAGATAATCATTCCTTTCACATTATGTTTAATTATACACATATTGATAGATATCATTTACTAGGATGATTCGATAAGAATTCGCCACGAACTAACATCAACCACGCAAATATTGAAAACCAAGTACCATTGAACACCTGCTGCAACCGAGCATAATAAAATCATTAAGATAGCTCACTTAAGACCGAACATGAAATGAAAACTGAAATCTTAAAGTCTCGTATTATATACAATACCATTCAGTGCTCAAAGTTGAAATCTAATAGTCAGTAAATTTAAACTTCAGCAAATTTATAACACATCGGAATCTTTAACCATTGTCAACTTTGAGTTATTGGTTCACTGTTAAGTTGGCTGGCTTGACAAATCTGAGTTTCTCACTGAATATTCGGTAAATTGTTGTGATATACTACACATCACAACAAACAGTATATCTGAATGGTATATCTAAATAAACCACTT